TCCAAAACTTTTATTTCATGGTAGACGTTACATCTCATCTAAATCAGCTTTATCGTAAACTACAAGGGACAGGAAACTTAATTTTTTCGATGTTAAAAGAAATAATAACATTCGAAAAAAATATCCATTTTTGCTCAGTATTTTGAAAGAGAAACATTGTTTCACTTTCCGAGCCGGCTGAAATATCGCTAAGAAAATAAATCCTCTATTGATAAGCACTGTTTTAAAAGAATTATTTTAAATATGAGGGAAGCATTTCTCAGCAGTTTACAGGAATTTGAAAACAGCTGAGTAACTTTAGCATTTGTCAAAAATCCTCTTAATGCCACGATAACCGAGTTGAAATTTTCTCATTTTGAAATTGACATTGGTATCTTTGAAATACAATTGCTGGATTTAAAAAAACAAGCAGATGTGGCGCTCTAAATTCGAACGTCTTTGTGTTGAATTGGAAATATTGGAGAAGAAAAAATGTGATCTTAGTTCACAACAGAAGTGGTCTGCTTTAAATGACCTGGAGAAGGAAGACATGATCATTTTCAACGCTTTTTCCTTTATTCTTTATTCCATATGTTTAGTATTCCTGACTCGTACGATCAGCTGAAAAAGCTCGCGTTTGCTGTTCTTTCCCTATTCGGTTCTACATATATATGCGAACAATCTTTTGCAAGCATCAACATTATCAAGAGTAAACTGAGAAGTCAACCTTGAACATGAGAACTTGGAATGATGACTAAAACTTAAAACAACAACATACAAACCAGACTTACTCAAACTTTCCAAGGAGATGCAAGCACATTGTTCGCATTAATAAATATTTATTAAGTATGAAATTTAGTTTTATTTAGTGTAGTGCTTATTTAGTGTAATAAAAGTTTATTAAACAAGCAGATTTGGCTCCCAACTTTTTTTAAATTGTTGTAATGTTCATATTTGGCTCTTTGGCTAATAAGTTTGCCGACCACTGGGCTAATAGGTCATTGCGAGACTTGCGAGACTCTTGCTGCAAGACCAAGACCAAGACCAAGACTTGGAGCGCAATACCAAGACCAAGACCAGGTGTATTGGCGCAAGACCAAGACCAAGACTTGCTAAGTCTCGTCTTGTTCTTGCATTTGGGCAACACTAATTTACTAGAATAAAACGACACGCGAAGCCTAGCTAGAAGATCTAGCGATCCGCCCCGGCTTCGCGTGGCTGATTTCTGGATCTCGACCGTGGCCGTGGCCAATTGTAATAATAATAATGTCCCCCAGACATTCAACTTCCTGATTCCGAGCTGCTACTGAGAATTTCTTGTCAGAAAAATGTAATAACTTATTTTGACCCGACCCGGGATTCGAACCCGAGCTTTCAAAATCATCAGTCGCGTTTACGACCACTAGACCAAAGAGGCAGTTAAACTATAACTAATCGGTTGTTCTGTACTTTCTAACACTAATTGTTTTTTGCACAGACACAACTTAGTAGCCAGGATTCTACATCAGGAGCTCGCTCTAAAGTCTCGTAGTTCGGAAATTGCTCAAAAATAACCGCACCAGGCTCTACTGGGACTAGGCCATTATCACAGGCAGGACTATTTTTGTAAATAAGCCTGATATTGTGCTAACTGACCGGGACTTGAACACACTCTGGGATATTTTGTTCATCATTGCCATTACGTATGTCGAGAACCTCGTGAAAGCCGAAACAGATAAGCAAACAAAATGTCTGGACCTGGCTCACGAGATGAACGAGATGAGTATTAACGTGGTAATGCACTGCTGTAGCTTTAATGGCTGTAGCACGAATGGGCCGGCTTGGTCGGTATTCTGTGAGATCACGCTCCGGCGTAAAATACCACCTCAATGCTAATGTGTTTCGTAAGATGAGTGTAGTGTGTCCTCAGAGTTGACAAACATTTAAGGTTCTCACCTCGTAAAAAAGAATTCCACGTTGTCTTTTGGTCTTCAGAGGTGACAACTATTCAAAATCGAGGATAAATATAGGTGACTATGAGCCACAGCATCCACTTACCATCGGGTGGTATGTGTTTGTTTGTCACCTTTATTCTATAAAAATATAAAATATAATATTAAATAACTGATATAATAATATAAAGACCAAATTGCCAGGTGAAATCTGAAATTTTTCACAAAGATAATATTGGAAGTAATATAAAGAGAGGATGTTTTTATAAAAAAAATTGTTTTTCGAAGCATTATTGCCAATTGAAAAAATTATATTGACTATTGAAATTTTACCCCTGTTTGAATTATTTTCAGTCATATTTTCAGTTGAAGCTCATGTGGTTCTAAGACAATCCGTGAGCCAACGTGTGGGTGAGCGTTTTCGTGATGAAGTATTGGATAACGAGCTTGTTATAATAGCCACGTTTGGTAGGTGGATAACGGTTGCAGTAATCAGTATTGAATGCAGCAGCATTATCAGTGCAAAAATCTGACCTCTGCGCTCACTATTCTGTTTGCCTATTCGTGAGCATTGATAAGTCTATCAAGAAGTGCATCAGTATTCTTGAAAAGGCTGTATGTCTTGTATTGACTTAAAACCTAGACAGCAACGAGGAAATAAATGAATTGAATCCTTCGGCGTTCATTACTTAAAGACAAACTATGCCCTTGCTAAACATGAAAAAAATTCTCACAAACGCACTCAATACTCACCTCGGCAATAACGCATTCGTTAAATACATTGTCATTGTACTTAGCGTCATCTGCGTTTTCCATTATACGGAGAGTCGTTATCAGCTCCTTTCGCAGCCTTCTGCGGGAACAATGGCGCTATAATGTGGCTACCTCACCGCGCTGCGTTTTATTGTAGCCTCGCGTGCATTATTTTTAGCCGCAGGAAGGTTCGACGCTCGTATTTCCTTGACGTTGCTTATTCACGATGTGCTCACTGCCGGTTTTTAATTAGCGATGACAAAAAAGATGCGGGTTGTTAGATAGATCTTTGTTGAGCAGTATCCAAGATAGTTTAGCAATCAGTTGTTGCGCTGGGGGCCGCGGGTTCGAATCCCGCACGGAACAAGTATTTGTATGACCTACAAATAATTGTTTCGGGTCTGGATGTTTTTCCTTGTGTAATTTATGTTTGTAAACTGCCTCCACGACACAGGAGAAAATACTAGTGGGGGGGGGGGGGGGGGTAACGTTTTTTTAAAAAAAAACCAACCAAACCAAAACCAATGATGAATTAATGGAGGTTTGTGAACATTTGGCAACTGTGATATTTATGAACTTCTTCCGCGATTTTCTTTCTTTTTCATTAAAATTCAAATTATTCCAAAACGTCCAAATGGTGTAAATAATAACTTAATGGAAATAAAAAATTAAAATGTAAAAAAAACTTCTGCCTGTCGATAAAAAGTGTTCCTCAGGGATCTATTTTAGGTCCACTAGGTTATCCCACATTGTCATTGTGCTATAACAATGTAAAAAGCAGATTTTTATTCGTTATAGTAGTATCATAATTATAACATTATAACATATAAAATATAAACGCCGAATAAAAAATATTATTCAAATATTTTATTATTTCTGAGACATTCTATTCAAAATGGTATGAGAGCTGATCGATAAGTTTAAGCCAGTCCAATATTATGGTTTCCCCAGGGTTTTTTATTTGTCTAGCAAAATGAGTTCCATTTCACTAATTTAACGTAGCCTTTTACAGCGGAAAACAATATATTTTACTGTAATAATATTATGTTTACTCAATTATACAGTAGGTAAAATGATATTTTTTACAGTGTTAATATATTTCATACCATTTCGAAAAGTGAAAAGAAACAACTATGTTAACTTAAATATTGAAAAAGAAATCGAAAAACAGTGCTAAGTATTATCTAGCATCTACTATGCGATTAATAAATTATTTTAATTTCGATATAAACATACATTACAAATAACGTTCGAAGAGTATAATGAAGCATAATATGTGCAGGCGGTTAGGAAAAATTAAGGGTCCCCAAAAAACAAAAACAGTAAGCGCAGAGCACAGTATATAAGGTTCTTTAATTTCTAGGAAGAAATAAATTCAACTTTATTTTCGCGTAAAATATTTGCTCAGGTCCGTTTTTGCTTTATCATTATTATGAGGCGTCGCGAAAGAGCCGATTGTTTTAGTCTGCCAATGCTTGCTTGAATGCTGCTGACCTACTTTTGGACCGACCCCACGCCGTTGCACTTTAAACGGCTCGATTTAGAATATTTGTGTACTGATCAATCGTCATTTGTTACGCCTTAGTGCTACTTTTAATTTAGAGATACCTACTTTCTATTAGAGAATGATGAGATGGAATAAAGAGGAGCAACTGTCATTGTAAGTACAATAAAATTCCGATGTGTCTATGCTGGCAATATGATACGTGTCTGTCTATATCGATATAATTAATAAATACATTTAGTACTTTCGTACTGATGTTTATTTATTTATGTAATGCTCAAAATAGTATATAATACTTACGGACTTAATGCCAAAGGCCGTTCCATCTAAAACAAACACGAAATTGAGCAGCATAAAACTAAAAAGGAAAAGGGGATAGTGAAAAAGTTAATCATAAGTATATCAATTTAAAATTTAAATTAATACATGACAATAAACCTAAAATTGCGATAATATAAACATGCAACGATTTTTAAAATTATTTATTCTGTGGTGTTAAGCCGTTAACACCACAGAATAAATAATTTTAAAAATCGTATATCTTCTTTATTTCTAAATACAAGTTGCAAGCTTTTTAAGATGGATTTCGTTTCAGAGAGGGCAAAAATATTAGATACACATACGAATATGTAGGTATTGTGAAGGCGTGAGCAATTAAAATTACCCGAACAACGGATGTTTCAATAGTATTGGCCTTAATTTTTTCTTTATAATATTCTGTGATAAGTTTGCCGTTGAAAACAATAGTTCGATGATTTATTTTTGACCCGAATAAAACACATGTGGTTCGCAGTAAATAATGAGTAACTAATGTATTTTTATATTAATTCTAGGTTCACGAAGAGGACATCGTCGGATTCGGAATTTCAAGCAATGGAAAGTTTCTAATGTCCTGTTCATCTAAAACAGACATGGTAATTTGGGATTTAAAAGGTCAACAGTTAGACAGACTGGATACATATTTAATGAGTACACACTCGGCGAAAATAACGCCGTGCGGTCGCTTCGTTGTCGCTACGGGATTCTCGCCAGACGTCAAAGTGATGGAGGTCTGCTTCACGAAGACTGGCGAGTTCAAACACGTCACAAAGGCGTTCGAGCTATCCGGCCACACGTCCGGAATATATGACGTGGCCTTCGACGTCGACACCTCGCACATCGCCACAATATCCAAGGACGGCACGTGGAAACTATATCACACAAAGAGTAAGTACGAAATTGTTAATGCGTATTTACTGTATTATTACTGTTATCTTTTACAAACGAACTACGCCATTTACAAACATAACCATTATTTTGCATGATCCACATTGTGCTCTACTTGTTTTTGCGAACTCGTCATGCGGTAATGCGGTTTAGATATAATATGTACGTGTTATGTGTGCTTCAATGCATAAGTTTCTTTTATTTAGAAGCCGATTTACTTGGATCCTTTTTAGCGTGCGCGTAACGTCCGCCTTAAAATTTCAAACAAATATTGCATAACAAGAACCTAGACGAATTATTAATTACTACTCTCTCTATTTACCACGTTTTCTGCGGTGATAGAAAATATCGTGAGGTAACCTAAATGTCAGACAAATTACAAAAACAAATATTTAGAGGATTTGTGAGTTTGTCAATCCAACTCGAACGTAGAGCTAACGTAAAAAAAACGTAGTGCTCGTTAGTAAGGCGAATGTAAGCTACATTACTCTACATCTACACATAAAAGCATCAATTCAAGCCTTTTTTTTAAGAACATCACAGAACATGTGTCAGTTACCAATGGGTCTGTTATTATTTTCCATTTTGTATTACTATTACAGTCTATCAAAAGTCCACTGCTGAACACAGACCTCCCTCATCGATTGCCTCATTGGGAGAATAATTGCCGTAGTTGGCTCGCAGTTTTTTATTGCCACCGCAGTTTTTATTATTTTGAGTTGTTTTCAGGAAAATGCTTCTGCCCATCTTCTGTTTTATTTTCCTCTGTCGCCTCTTACGATACGCATGACAGGATATGGGGTAGTGGATATTCTTACAGCATGTATAACTCGGTATGTAAACTTTTTTAAGGTCTTGTTTTTAAATATTTGCTTACACGTAAGGTCGTTATAAAAACAAATTTCAATTATTTTACTTTGCTAAGCGGAGGTAAAATTTTGATGGCTTTCAAACTTTTACTAACGATGACATAATAGAGTAGGCTATTAATAACATTAACCAAATACTTACTTATTTTATTATGATTTCATGATGAATTCGATGTAATAGCCTATATGTGTAAGACAAAAACGATTTATCACTTAGATTTGTATTCTTTATCAGTCAACCATGAGTATTAGCAAAAATCAATGCAGAGTAAACCAAACAATAAAAATGTGGAAATTAAATCAAAATTATGATGATCAAAAATTCTAATTCGCGATAGAATACGGAATACCTTGTTTTTTTATAGGATAAGGGTGACAAACGAGCACAAAGTCCACCTGATGGTAAGTGGTTGCTGTGGTCCATAGACATCTACATCTATGCTCGTTTGAGATTTAAAATGCAGATGCGTTATCACCCGTGAGGACTAAGATAGAATGTCTCTTTTCCAGTAGAAAGGGTTTCCGGTTCTCTACACTCACCATACGAAACACAGCAGCATTAAGCTGCTATTTTACGCTGGTATTCTGTGAGAGCGTGGTCCTTCCCCGGTCGAGCCGACCCATTCGTGCTACAATAAAATGGGTCGGCAGATATAGCTTTGCACTTGACCAATTTTACGTAAAATAACTTTATAAAACTACTTTTGTGGATTTTATTGCGTTTAATTGTATTTGCTATTTACAGCCCGTACTGGTTTACATAATGATTTCTTATATTTACACGAACACTACATATTGAATAAAACTGTTTTTACGAATTTACACACACTACAATTAAACGCGATAAAAAATCATTACAACTATATATTATGTTGTATTTTTTATAACTAAGATAAAAGTATAGCTTGCGATTAATTTGACTATCTTACACAAACAACGTTAATGAAGTAGCAATGGCTCGAAGTATATAACTCGAATAACCGACAACCGATGGAGAAAAAAGATTCTTAGGATTTCTTAGGCGGGCCTACCATTCGTAAAAGTTTTCGAATGATAGGCCCGCACTGGTAAGCGAAGTGTAGGGCGGCTCCGCACTAGATACAGTGAAGACCTGGTAAGAGAAGTAGGAAATCGATGGACGCATGTGACTAAGGACCGTGTTTTGTGGCATTCCTTGGGGCTGCCCTATGTTCAAAAGTGGACTTGTTAATGGAGATGAACGCAAAATATATTACATTACTAATATTTTAATTTGATTTGTAGGGGAGGCCTGTATTCAGTAGTGAACCTGTTAAGGGCTGTAATGATGATGGTTATGACCCAACAAACAGTTGCTTAGGGGCAGAAATACATAAGAGTTTAAGTAAAGAGAACACAAAGATAATAAAGTGACTGATACAGAAAAACATCTCGTAAAACGCTAACAATATGATATCTTTATATCAATTACATTCGCCTTGACGGCTCGATAGTCCAATGGCTAGTAATGCCTGAGACTAGGTCTTTGAATTCCGTTAGTGAGAACTATTTGTATGGTATACAAATATTGAATTGTTCCGGGTCTGGATGTTTTTCCATGTGTAAATTTTGTATGTTAAACTATCCATAATATAGGGAAAATTCCTGCTGGTACTGGGAGAATAACTTTTTTAAAGTTTAACGTAAACAAACAGATACAAAAGTCTTGTGTGGAGTGATAGTATCTTTAGAAACTCTTATAGAAAAGATTTGATTTCGATACATTGAGTCGCTACTAACGTTTTACGAAAATATCATCATCATCATAAACCCTCAAAGTCCTCTGTTGGACATGGGCCTCTCTCATTGTTGGGAGGATATGCTTTGAGCTTGGCAGGCGGGTTGGCGATCACAGTACCAGACGATTCTGGATTTTTATGCGTGGTAGATAAAGCCACGCTGCAGCTATATTATGGTTGTAGCACGAATGGGTCGGCTCTACCGGGGTAGAACCACGCTCTCACAGAATACCAGCGTAAAATAGCAAGTTAATGCGACTGTGTTTCGTATGGTAAGTGTAGAGAACCGGAGACCCTTTTTACTGGAAACGAGGCATTCTATCTTACTCCTCACGGGTGACAACGCATCTGCATTTTGATTCGCAAACGAGGATAGATGTAGATGTCAATGGGACACAGCGACCGCTTACCACTAGGTGAACTGTGTCCTCTTTTATCACCCTACTCTATAAAAAAGACGTCCCGCACCTTTGATGCTGATCCCTGAAACCGGTCTGGGTATTTTTACGTCTGGTATAAGCGAGATGGTTGCACCGCAAAAATATATACACGCGAAAATTTATATTAATCTAGCTGACCAGGCAGTCTTTGTTCTGCCCTTTCCAGCGACCCTTTGTCCTTTAAAAAATCTTTAAATTCGCAATAAAATGTTGAGGGTCACTTATCGGGATGAAAACTATCCTATTTCTAAGACTGGAGCAAGCGATATAGATTTACAAGATTTCATTAAAACCAGTTGAGTGGTTTCAGAATTCATTGCGGACTTTACGGTAATTTTTATATATAAATATTAAGATTTTCCATGTGTGAAATTTCCTACGACAACTCTTGACTCCACTTATTGTGAAATGTGACTGCCTTGCCTTAGAATTTAAATATTCATAATGGAATTACCGACAACGGCCACAGTATTACAGAATTTATCTTTTGGTCACTAACAGGAAAATGCATAAACATATCGAGAAACTTTTGATATATTTGTATGTATACATACATAACGATATATATATGTATACACGTCACTGGGGTCTGTCCCGTACATTTTGTCGAACTGACGTAAGATATGTTAAATATACGGATTTCTTGCATTGCGTCACGTGACGTTCTTCGATGCGTGCGAAACCTTGCAAAATTTTATTATATTGTGTTTGTTAATATTGTAGCTAAAGCTAGATTGAATTTGTTTTATAATGGGCGGATTTAAGGTAAATCAATAACCTTTTTTATATCTCAATGCTGGACTCAGCCTTCATCTGAACATCATGAGAGCTTTTAAGAACAAGGAGTCCACTGCCCAGTCCCAATGCGTGTTGGCAGGTTTCATGCCAACGAATTTTTTTTTATGCTTTCTTTTGCCGCCAAGATTACTACACCCTAGGCATTAAAACTTGCAATAGACAATAATTACTTAGGAAATCAGTTTGTCCGTATACCATTTTAAGGCCCACGGTTATCCACTAACATTTCCTTTCCATTATTATTATATCGGTTTTTGTTTTAAGTGTGATTTTGTTATCAAAATTCCTCTGTGTGGCACGTATTACCATGTGATTGTAAATATACTGTTTTTGTTTAATTGCAACCTCAGTCACACGCGGTGCACCTTGCTGACTGAGGAACGAATGGAGTACTGACGACCAACTGATGGCGAAAACTCCATAAAAATATTACAAACCGAGTGCGACTCTGCTCTCACCAGTCTGCACACCTTGATAGTCTGTGTAAATCTATATAACTACATATTCTTGAAAGACTTATTTTTATAATATTAGAGGGAGAAATAGGTTAATGTCCTCCTTATGGTAAGTTGGCGCTATGGCCATAAACACCTATGTTAGGCCGGCAGCGCATCTGCAATTCCCCTGGTGTTGCGATTGTTCATGGGCGGCTGTAGTCACTTAGCATCGGGTGAGCCACATGCTCGTTTGCCCCCTCCCCTATAAAAAATAAAATGTTACGTAGTACTGCCTACATCTATTAATCAATCAGTCAAATACAAGAAATAATATATATTATTTTTTGTATTTGACTGCGATTTTTTTGATGCTACTTTGATTTCTTACAGACAACATTTACGCAAATGACTGATACCAGTTAAGAACGAAGTAAAAGAGGGTGGTGTACTAAATAATAATAATCATGAATAAATAAATAATGAACATAGACCTCCTCTGTAGTCTGTAGTCGCCTCATAGAGAGAATATCTGCCACGGTTTTCACGCTTGGCTGGCGGCTCGGCAGCTGCAGCTTTTTTTTCGAGTAGTTATCAGGAAAATCATGCTGCCCATCTATTTCAGACTCTGTGTCGCCTTTTACTTTTTTTGATATAGGGTAGTGGCTTAGAGTATACAGGCTGCTTACGAGTATGTATATT